CAACAGACCTTTATTGTATTAGAATGCAGTCAACATTATTGCTATTATAAAAAACAAATCACAGAAGAAAGTATTTTGCTTCTCTCATAGAAGATTTAATAATAGTGCACTGCTGCCTCTCTCAGAGTGTTTAGTGACAATACACTGACGCACACGGCTACAGCTGAACGGAGATGGTTCTGGTCAGTTTTAAAGAAACGAAGGCTGCTGTTCAAAGTAAATAGCAATTGAACTAGCTTTAGTTATTCAATCCATAGAATAAGGCCGGCTCATCTACCGCTTACAAACAGGCCCAGTGTGTATGAAAAGGGTAAGCCACTCCTGAATTTTTCATGCTAGTTCACTTTCTGCATGTAGTCTCCCAATTTTTTATTTGAGTCGTTCAGGCTGGTGCAGAACGGCTGCCAAACGCACAGTCTGCTCTCTGTGCAGTGTATTTTCACCATCATTACATGCTTCATATTTGTTTTCCATATAAAACCAAATATACACATAGTGTATAATACTTATTGCTAAAGACAGACCCCCACACCCAGCACCCAGGACATAGCATAATATAATAAAAACAATTACTGAAGTATTTAAAACATCCTCTGTAAAATGATCACCTAAAGCCATACGGACTCAGCAAAACAGGGGAAAAAAAAGTGTCAGCTAATAAAATGTGAGAATAGCAATAGCCATTTCAAAAGTGATTAAGCCTCTGACCTTGACAAGCACTCCAATATTAAGGTGCATGTACTGTAAGATTTCTAAGCAGTAGAGAGAAAACCTACAGTTCGAGTTTGTAAACTGACATTGCAAAAATGAGTCCTGTTTGCAAATGAATGGCATCATTCAACACACAGCATTTCCATATAACTGCTAACAGGGTAAGGTAGTCAAGACAGCCTGATTGCACACTTCTTGTTACGAAGTCCCTGCTTGCAGAGTGCTTCCCACCCCCTGCTTCTGTTATCGACTTTTACATCAAGCTCCAGTTGAGTTCAGGACCCATCTTATGTCTTTTAAAGTTTCAGTGAAGAAAAATAGTTGCAGTTTCCCTTCAAACAGAAAGAAAAAAATATTCTGGTTTGCAAGCATCAAAATACTTCCATAATTTTACTGTGATGTTTGAACGACTCCTTTACAACCCAACCTTCAGTTTGGTAAGGAGCGCTGGAGCCCAACAGTGCCAGAGGGGTTTTGCTGTAATATTCATTCAAGTCTAGTTAAGTCAGAAGCCAGATGGGAGCAGAGGGAGATCACCACTTGCACAACATCAGAAGAGGCTTACAGAAGGCAGACAGCAAAAATATCTGAAGATTTTGATCATGGTACGCACACTCCAACCGTACACAGCTCACAGGACACACTGGAGGCTGAAGACAGAAGAGTAGAAACCTTTCCCTAAGACTGCTTCCCCCAGCAGCCAGAAAGAGCTGGGCACAAGGAGTGAAACCCTCCAGGCATCACAGAAGCCAGAGTGCAGAAAGCTGAAGAACAAAAGGAGAAAAACATGCAAGTTGCAGAACAAACAGATGAGGAGCACACGCAGAAGCTCAGAGATAAAGTTAAGAAGGACAGGTGGATGTTAGCCCTACAAGAGGACTGCACCCATGGAAGAACAGTTTCAATTCTTTGCCACTCAGCAAATATGTGAAATCTATCAGAAAATTGCAACCCATCTTCTTTGACTATTTTAAAGAGGATGACAGGCTTCTGCTACTGTAAATTACTCCACAGTTGAACAAAGACCTACGCTTCTAAGGCCAGAATATCCAAAATATGGGCACTACTCAACCTACAGCTACCCAAGAAAATGGTTAGCAGGAAGCATCTTCCAACACATTCCCTGTCATATGACTTGAAGCACCTCAGTTTTGTAACTGAACCACAGGCAGCCCCATCATGTGGTATCCGATCACTTCACCAAAACTATGTTTCATTTATTACTGCAATACTGCTGTCCTACTGCAATCACTGCAACTGAAAAGGCAGAATTCCTGATGTAGATGCCTACGGTATGGTTATAGGAAGGAGAAGGCTTTGATATGAATCACCCTGATACCTCCATGAAAAAAAAACAACGCTCGGACAAAAAGCTGGGCATTTAAAGGTTCCACAAGTTTGCCATCTATCCCTATGAAATCACGAGGCTTCCGTACAACAGCATTTTCCTTTTATTTATTACTATTAAGAATTTATATTAAAAGGCTGCAAATTCAAAAATTTTACCTTTCTGTGCACATGTATCAAAACCAGTCCTTACATCACCATATACTATTTCTTCCTCAGAGAGGGTCTTTCTTCATCATACAGCTCAAGTAATTGCAGTTCACGCCCCGATAAATGATGTTGCAGATAGACTGTGTGTAGATCCCTGGCTTATTTAGAGAAAGCAGGGAAGACAGATGGAAAATGATGCCTACAGGAAAGATTCTCTCTATAAGGCCAACTAGAAGAAATACTGGTACAAGCCAGATAACATTGGGTTTGACTGGCACATGAGCAAAGAAATCAATTGTAAGTTACATTCTGTGCAAAACACTTAGCATTTTTATGGCACTTGACTTGTAAGTGTTTAAAGAAAAAACTACAAAAGCATCCCAAATCTTTGTATGCTTGAGAAACTGGGGCCAAAACTAATGTTTACATGTTACAGACTAACGTCACAATTTGAGAAGGCAAACTCAGACAAGTTTGTGAAGCATTCAAGCAATACACAACGTATCAAAGCACTGTCCATAAGGACATCGAAATTGTATTTCTTAGAAGATATGAATGCTTGCAGGAATTTTTATAATACATGACTACACAATAAATGAAGATAAAAAAAATACTGAACAGATTATTTGTTTTTGTAAGCACAGTCCATCCTGAACAAGGCAGGATCCTGAGGGATAAATACATACTCATGTAAATTTAGAGACCATTACAAATACAAACAGAAGACAAGTTAAAGCTGCAAGGGCAACTTTAACTTTGACCTTACAATTTCCTTTCCAGGATACCATTCCTCCATCTCTGCACTAAGAATGAAACCTCTGTCCTCCCACTTGGAATCTCTCTATCCACCTCCATCTTCAGTAACATTTACAATTATATTACATCATACACATGCACACACATTGCATAATATTGCTACAGTGTATGCTGTATAAATTATGTAAATACACTCCACTTTGTTTCAAAGTAATTCATCTGCATTTACACTTCTCTTATACAGTACACACAGTACCACATTCAAGGATATGCAGCAAGTGAATAATATATAAAAAAGTCTCACATATCCAAAAGCAAGTAGGTCACTCAACTATTCATATTGTTTGAAGCAGATATTTAAGCATCCACCTATATAACACAGAGTATTTTATTTATTAGCAGTTGCTATAAAAATGTCAACAACTTCTCAGCTCTGGTGTTCTTTCTGCATTATGAAGTTGCCAATCATGATTCCGTAATTAACTTCCACGTTACCATGCAGCTCTGTAACGTCTCCTACAAGCTCGATTTGGCAAGACTTTTTAAATAGCAATCACTTTGTAACAGGGGTTTACATTTTGCTTTGGACATCAAGAGTGACAATTCACTTCAGATATGATAGACAGATGGGAAATGTCAAGGTAGGTTTATTTTAGTAATGAACCAGTCATGCTGCTTTCTTTCTCAATAATGGTTTTATCATGAAAGTTCAATGCACTTATTGCAAAGCCTTTCCCAGATAATCCATCTTTGGCACATTTTTCAATTTTATGTATCCTCAAAAGGCATTCCAAGATTTTTTGATTTTTGATGGTCTGTACATTATAACAATCACTTCTTTTTTACATTTGTACGTAGATCAGGAAAAAAAGTGGAAAATGTAGAGTAAGCAGAATAGTTTTAATAAACAGTTTTACATACAGTACCTTACATATAGAACAGTGTATTTGCAAATTTAAATAATTTTTGAATGTACAGTGGCTTGTACTTTTATCAAAAGGTAAATTCAAGTTTACTGTCTATCGGTTCTAAAATGCATTTATACAGATAACTAGAACTGATAAACAGATGTGAGGCATAAAATGTTCAAGTATCTTAATGTCATCAGTTAAATAGCCTCCTTTTAACAGTCATATTTTACAAATTTCAAAAGCTGTACATACATTATTTTCAATTTAGAAACTGCTTGTTAAAAGGTAACATTTCATGTTAACCACCAGTTCTTATAGTCTATTTTAATAAAACTAGACATATGTAGATACAAATGTATATAGTATGTATATATGTACATGTGTATCTATACACATATACATACACATACAAATATGTATGTAGCACTGGGTACAGCGGCAACTTATAAGCACAGGGAAAGTCCTGGGCTGAAAATCCAGCAAGAGCTAACAGAGCAAGTAGGTTGCCTTTGGTTTCATGACATTTTGCTCACTGAAGCTGAAATATTTTATAAAAACATCTTGGATAATGTTTCTTGTGATATTTATTCTAGTGGTTTAGTATATTCACAGCCACAGACAGCTTTGCTGCTCTTGTCATTCCTCATCCCAGCTGAGGATGGTAAGGTTTCAGAGGGCCAACACCAGAACAGAGCTACCCAGGACAAAAATTGTACCTTGAATCCTGAATACTGCAATAGAACATAAAAAAATATAAACCAGATACAATTTTGGATGGATTGCTGGCACCGAGTAGGACTTTGGAAAAAACCTTCATGTAAGTCATAATCAGACTCTCATCCCAGTGGTTTTAATATTATTTGGCACATCTGACCACTATTTGCCACTTACGTTTTAAAGGAGCCTAAGGGTGCTGCAGTAAGGATTTCTAGTTAAAAAAATATTTTAAAAAGAACATGATAAGTAATTTCTTTCAAAAATCAAAGCTAGTATGTTTGTTTTCCTGAACATTCATGAGAGAAGGAAATAATCTAAAAACTTTCCTTGTAGAGAGGATACAGATCTCTCTGTGTCTATCTTTCACTAGCAAGATAAGAGGAATTCATTAAAAAAGTAGTTCTCAAGAATTTTTAGTCAGCTGAATTCTGCTAATTTAGGTTTTTTTGCCAGAGGTTTCAAAAGAGTAGCATTGTTCTTTGCAGAGTTTTTGTTTGTTCAACTTTCCTGTGTGTGTGGATTTTCTTGTTTATCATATTAAAAATCATACCAACATTTTTCAGTATGTAATACATAACACTTTGAAGGCTGGACATTGAAAATTCAGATTTTCAATATAACAGATTCCTTACTCTAAATTTCCTCTTCTCTTTCTAAAGCTTCAGGCTATTAATGTAATCAGCAAAGAACCAGATAAATGCTCAGCTTTTTGCTGTCTTCCTGTCAGTCTTGTGGCTAGTAAGAAAATTCACTGTAAATAACCTATTTTTATTTCTTTATTCTTCCTTTTGTCATACAGAGCAAAGCGTTGCTATTTGCTGTACTTTCCCCATGTCAATTAAGAGCTGTTTGATACGTCGCTTGAGCTGAGGCAATCTTGCCAGAGGATCTGGTGGTTCCAGTTCTCCAGTGAAATCAAGCCAGCTTTCTAAAACTACAGAAGGAAAAGGAAGCGGATTAGAATAAGTTTTCCAGAAACAGCTTTCATAAAAATTAAACCCTTCTTACTGTCTGTCTTTTATAAGAAGGGGAAATACACTGAGGCTGTGATTTTTATTTAACAGAAGAAATTTTTATTAGGGAAACACCAACTAATTCTGTTTCACTCAAGTAATCCAAATATATCTTCTGATTTGACCTTTACTATAAAAAGGTACCCGAGAGCAAATTATACCTTTGGCTAACGATTTACCATCTACACACATAAAAGAAACTCCAGTTCACCATCTTCTAGCTATGACAGTTCTGCAACAGGAAACGCAATCCTTAAATGCAAGGCTTGTTTTTGTCACTTTAACAGGCTCCTGTTTACAAAGTCCAGATTAGAGAACGGTTTTCCAATCTTCAACAAATGTTTCAAGGAATTTCTTTGCTTGCAGAGATACAAGGGAAAAGGTCAAGTCTGTTAGCCTAGAAATATTGCCTAGCACGAGCAGGAATATTGAAAGTAAAACTGCAAATAAGAATAAGACAACTTTATTTGTCAAAAGACAATAAGGACTCCTATGACTAGACTACAAGCTCCCCTCATTCTTAATTTCGATGACTGGCAAGTAAACTTACATGCTGTAATATTTACTCCTACACTATAATTTCATTCAAGTTTTCTCATGAAGCCTGATTTGTCTTCCTGAAACCAGTTACTTACTAATATAGAGCAAACCAAAGTCGAAGGCAGACTGAACACATCTTTTTTTTTTTTTTCCTAAATATTGTCAATTACTAGAACAATCAGACCAAAAACATTCCAGGCATAGAAAAATCCATCAACTTTATGATCCAAATCTGGACAGAGAAGTTATCTAAGCTTTGTGAAGTCTGCCTAATATCACAAACTTCAGGGGTCCTGAGTGCTTAGGCTACTTTATTAGCCATTCAAAACTTGTGGAAGGGGTTAGAGGGGATCAAGGGTACAAGCTCTGGTTATAATTTTGGGTACCCAAATTTGAATACAATACTTACAAATCCACCCTTAGTGCCTCAGATCACCTTCAACATGGTAGCTATTAAAAATACTGTTACAGGCATATTAACAAGTATGTGGCAATGCAGTTACCATCAACTTCTTTTTCAATCAGGTCCATTCTGCTGGTGACTTCATTCTGTACATTCTCTATATGGGTAAGGAGATTTAGCTGCCATTGAAGATGTGTGTCCACTTGTTCTTCCGAGCCTTTTCTTTCATTACAAACAAACACAGTGTTTCCTTCAGCAGAATTCTTCTTCATAGAAGCAACAGAAAGAAAAAAAATTGCCATTTAAAAGGATTTTTTTGTTTTGTTTTCTTTAAATTTCTGGTGTTGATTTCAACACCTGAGTCACATGATAAACTACGCTGTTTCAGAATTGTACTTCTGTCTACTTGACGAAAAGTATACTCAAAAAGCCACAAACCATGACACATCAATAGGCTGAACCAAACAAAACACAAATTCCATAACAATGAGCATGTAGAGCACTGGGCGAGTGACATAAGAGGTAAAGTTTACCAGTTCATGCACTTTGTTTAATGCAGTAACACAGACTGCATTTCCATGCCCTTTTTATACAAAACATGACTTAAATCATGAAGTGCTGAACTGCATCAGTCTACCATCACCAAAAATGTGCAAAATCCTAACATTTGTTTCAACTTGAGCCAGAGAATGAAGGAAAACTCCCTAAAATCCAGTAATATCCAAGATGTCAAAAGTCACATTTTGCACAAATAAGCTGCCCATTCTATTTGTTGATTTTCTGCTGTTGCTGTGGTCTCATGTAATTTGCAAGCACAAGTCTGGGATAGAATTGAACATGTTTGGGAATAGTTACAAGGGCAATTACATGCAGAGTTATGCAATCATAGTATCTGAGGAAGACTGACTTCTTTGCAATAATTAGTATCTTCATAGTGAGTCAGAGATAATACACAAGTTCCTCAACTTTCTATATTTGGTGTTTCAGCTAATGGAAGCCACCAAAGGAAGTATACTGGATTTAATGAGTTAAAATGTTCAGCATCTCCATTAATTAGCAATATTCACAATTTCCATTTTACATCCACTATGACTTCATATCTGATGAAGTTCTTTCACTATTGATGATTCTATTTTAGCAACTAGAATGCTGGATACATGTGCTTACACAGTGTCAGTTCATGGCAAATGCCAGAGCAAGGAGTGAATTTTATCATATTAATATACTTCTCTGATGAAGCGCCTAGCTAATTTTTTTCTACTTCACATAATAACAGACTTAACACCGTTTTTTTCTTAAAGTATTTCTTCCTCCAACCAAGAATGGGAAGAGTGATAAGAGACAGGAAGAAGAAAATAGGGACTGACAGATTTTCAGTTACTTCTCAAGAAAAAACAAACAAACAAAAAAACCAAAACCCAAAAACTTTCTTTTTAAGACCTAAAATCAATTAAAAAAACCAAATCAAACCTGGACCAACCTGCTGGTAGCTTTATGAGCAAGTCCTGGAGGACAAGAATGTTAATATTCACAATATTCATTAAAGGAGTTAAAGTTATTCATCAAGGACAGATTTAAAGAGTCATAAAAAACCTCTAAACTCTCAAACCTTTCAGATAAAATCTTTCTTCTCTCAAGACATCAGGTTTGCCTCCACAATGTTTTCATTATTCAAACTGTTATTAATCTTGTAAAAGATATTTCCAACATAAGTAAGAAATGCCCTATTTATTAGAACTTTCAGACCTTAAAACCACAAGAGAAGAATGCCATTTTTCCCCTGCTGTATGAGGACCCAAGTCCACAATTCTAAAACCAAGATCATCCATTAGGTGATCTTTTAGATGCCCACTGCAGCAGATAATATATTTATTTTTTTACCTTTTAATGACCTCTGTATTTATTCAAATGGCTAGTAAACGTTCCTTGAAAAAAAAACCCACAAGATCAAACAAGTCCTCCTCTAAGTTAAGAGATCAATGTAGGCAATCAGGGAGTGATAGCAGGGGTAGTAACAGAAGCAGAGTACAGGATCCAGCTTGTGAAGAAGAAATAAATGGGAGGTTCAGGTGGGGAAGGCTCATGCTTTCAGAAGCAAGAACCAGGAAACTAAACACAACTTTAAAGATGATGCATAGTCCAAAAAGGGACTCCATAATAGTCAGTCTGAACACTGTTTATAAGAGAAAAGAAGATACGTAACAGAACTGTAGATTAGGATAAGACAAAACAGTATGGAAAACCAGAATAATCCAAGTTCTGCGAGATGCTAGAAGGGAAAATCCAAAGCCCCAACCAAAACTTTGACAAGGAGAGGTGAAAAAGACATCTTACAGACAAGTCAGTTCATGTAAAATTGGCACTTCAATGCCAGTGTCATCATGGTTTTAAGGTAAGTACAAACAGGTTCATGGAGAAACAAAGGAGAGCTTTTCAATGTATATTAAGTCCAGACAGAAAGACTTATTTCAGATATCAAGGTTGACTACTGACAACAAGGCGAACTAAGGTGTCCCAAAGGAAAGAGTATTCTGACACTGCCCCAAACAGTTCTCTTTGTAAAACAAAGAGCACCTGGCTTTTTAGATGTATGCTTTAGTCTGAAACAAACATTAGTTTTGTTTCACTGCTTACATGTACTTTCTTCTAATTCCAAATGTATTTATACTATACTGCTGCAAGTTTCCTTACTATACAAACTGAATATAATCATGCGATTTAGCATACAAACAGTTATTTCTAACTAGAATGAGCCAAAACTTCATACTCAGACTATATAGCTTACATGCCACAGTTAAAACTAAAATTAAAAGAAAAAAGACATATCTTACTCATTTCTTCCACACCAGAAATTGTACTTCAAAAGAGGGATGAGTTGGGCGACTTATTCTCACATAGTTGGTATTGCAGAAAACAGAAAGTTTTGTTTCACTTTGTTTTTTGCTCAAAGAGAACTTTTCACTAAAACCAGACTAACAAGTTTCAAACCTTTTCCACAACGTAATGTATTCAAACCATTAACGCAAAAACAAGAGAGACATGTTTAAATAGTCAAATATAATCCCGGCTAAAAACTTGTGAAACATTTAGTTAGAAGAAATATGCAATATAAAAGAATCAAAAGAAGTTGCACATGAGATGAAATCAGTTGGTCAGTAAATTATTACTTGTGGACAGCATTCTAGACAGTGTTGCTACTAAAAGAATACAGTACAGTAATAAACATTATTACAAACCTCAGTTTAACAAACAACAATAACAACAAACCCCACACGTAGAAAACAGAATTGAGAGAAAAAAGAAAACTTGTCCCATTTTCTTCAACCTCACAAAAAACATACAAAGTTCTGTTTCAAGATCCTGCATTTTAAGCATTTAAGCTCTTCCCCCCCTCCCCCCGCAACACTGGATTGAGCATAAACAGTTTTAGCATTGGCAATATTTTAACCACACTTTGCATTTCATTCACCAGCTAAAATGGTTATACTTCACCTGAAAGTATTTCAGAGATCCAACTTTGCTTCTAGTGATTTCTGCTGACTTATTTGAATATATCGACTTACAACAATGAACATTTCTAAATACTTGTATGTGCTTGAGTTTTATGAGATTGAACATATTTTTCCATCTAAGAAACTTCCCAGATTAAGAATGATACTTACCTGCTCATTCACACCATCATCTTTAAAAGAATATTGTAAACAGTTTTTATTCTCTGTGTGAAATTCCTGATCTTCGTCAAAACTACTTGTATCTTCATCATCTGAGCTCATAGGGTCAGTGACTGCTTTGCAGTCTTGAGCAAAACTCTGTGGTTTTTGGTAACTGTGCTCACTTGTGATGTATGTTTCTTCCATCTTCTGGGGTATACTGGGTGGCTCTTTATGGTTTTGACTGTGATACGTCCTTTCAGTTGGATTTACAGCATCTGGAAAATTAATTAATTTTTTCTCTACCCCAACAGTTATTTGCTCTTGTTCTTTTCGCATCCCTGAATAAGCCCAGAGATGAAGGTCTGGGTGATGCTTATTTCTGCAACGAAGAGAAGGAAACAAAGTTATAGAGAATACCACTTAACAGCACTGAACTATTAAGCATCCACTTCTGCTAGATCACAGCTATTGATAAGAACCATTATCAATACGTAAGTATTCCTAGGTCACTTATCAGTTTAGGATAAATCCAGAATGTCCCTTTAACACAAAACTGACTATATATAAAAAAAAATCATCAATAATCCCAATAGATCTGCTCAGGTACTGAACACCTAACTCCCACCAAAGCTGAGGGTACTCTACATCTTGCACTTGAATTATTTAAACTATTATACAAGAAAGAACTTTAATGTGAGAGAATAATGCATATGGAATAATGGTAGTCTCTGCTACCTAAATATATGAAGATGGAGAATAAACTCTGGACTGATACTTACTTTAATATCCCAATCTTCAACTGCAGTCCATGCAATATTTCAGTTACACCATATACATCTGCCAGTAGGTGATGTGTTGACACAATCTTTTTGGCATTAAGATGAGAGTAGTTTTCTTTCAAAAATGATAATCCACACATGTGTCCATTGTTTAGCCAGTCTTTATCATAAAGATATTTGGCACTCCACCTCTGACCTGGGGTAAGCAATAAACAAACTGAGGGCCATCTAATGCCACAGCAGAAACATATTTAAAATTAGAGTGCTATAATTATATGCTGTATTCTCCTAAATGTCTCATAACATCCATGAAAGAAAGAGTCAAGATCTTGCTATTAATATATTAAAATCTAGTTTTTATGGACTAAGAGGAAACTTTTAACACTTATGAAAACAAAAATAAACCTGAAATCTCAAGACTTCTCTAAATGGTATTTGAAATGAAAATCTAATCACCCCTGCAATCAAAGTACAGGATATTAAGAACTGCACTATTATCAATCTAACTGGGAAAAAAAAAAGTTTAAATCAGTATTTTATTTATCTAACTACTGCAGCTTATTTTTTTTTTTAAAAAGAAAACCTAAGTTACCAAGAGAAATGTTAGAAAGTGGATTTCATGTGGACATATCCAAAACACCTAGTTTGTTTCTAAAAGACAAATATTTTGCTTCAATACTGAAGTCAATATCTATTTATCAGAAGCCAGAAGAAGGCTTCATGGAAAGCAGACATTTCAAAGTTATCCAACAGCAGACTTCTTACACTCTCCTTTGAGTTGCCTTTCACCAGACACTACTAGACAGGATGTTGTTGTAAGCGGGCCTTTGGTGTCCCATACTATGGCACCATCTACAATCTTAACCCAACAGGTATGAATGAGTATTTAGCTAATGCTTCTACAGTAATTTAATAATTATTTAAAAAAAAAAAAAAGGAAAACAAAAAACAAAACTAGAAATGTATAATGCTAATTATTCCAATATTGTCGTTTACAATGAGGAATCCAGACAAACAGAGTGACTGCAATATCTTACACTCAATTTCATATCAAACTATCATCATATACAGAACAAAGAATGGGTTGATGGAAGCCCTTCATACCTTTCAGGAGAATACCCTGTCTATCTCCTTTCTGCCCATTATCCCAATACACTTTAAAATACTGACATTGTGAATGACCTTTTTCTCCTGACACAGAAAGAAAAGAAGTAATGGTTAGGAAGGGAGAGAAGGTAAAAATTAGGGACACAGTCTCTGCATAACAGGGGATAACCAAGTCCCTAGTACAGTGCAGGGAAAGAACACATGACAAATTAGTTGCTTTTAATAAGAAAAAGCTTGACTGTTCAAAGAGTATGCCACACAGAACTATCAAATAAGACTCTGTACCATCAATTTAGATTCACACTGGGGCAAATGAAAAAGTCACTTCTTTCCAATTCTATTTTCCTAAATTTTCTTCCCAAAAATAACTAATAAAAAACTGTGCGATTTTATACCTCTGTAAACAGTTTTCAGATTTCATTTCTTAAACTCAGTATGAAAGTAAATTTGGGTGTATAGTCTCATTGCCCTTTTGAAAAAGCTGGACTGTTGGATATTTCACTAGAAGACAAGTATGTGCGTTTGCATCAATTGTCAGGGAAAATACTAAAAGCTTTCTTCCAAATCATATAGTTTTTCTCCAAGTAACTGCAAGAAAAATGGATTTATGGACAGAACTATTTTCAAATCAACATCTTCCTAATCAAATACATTCAGTTTAAAAGTAAATAGACTTTTCCTAAATCTTACCATTTCAAACTTATCCTGACAATCTTAAGTTCAAGATATGCTGTTTGTGCAGTATGGTTTACCATGAAAAAAATCTAGCACTTTTTATATTTTACATACTCAGTTCCACATCTTTATTTACACAATTCTGGACAAATGTAAACATTATAAAATTGCAATTAATATGAAATGACATCCACAGCATATTTGAATGTACTGTGTTAATGAGTCCTTTCTCTCTAAAAAAAAAATATTTAAATGAACAGATGTGATTCCAAGTATAGGCAAACCAGATCGCAAACTAACCAGAATGATTTGTTTAAAAAGACTTTTCAGACTACGCTAATGTCAAAAAGTGCTAAGTTTTGGGGGGAATTAAGTTTCAACAACTAAAGCGATGGTAATTAAGATCATGAATAAGATTTAGCATAGCTAAACAAGACATTACTAACAGGAAAGTAAGTTTTTGCTCAGAGTCAAACTTAGAATCACTTGCCCCAAAGAAGTATAACAGATAACGCAAAACAGACAAAGCTTTAACAATTTAAGCAATGCATAACATCTCTGCTTAAAAATCCCAAGCAGACAGCTGCAGATAAAGGTGGTTTACCCATACCTGGCGGATCTCTGCAGATATAACAGATGTACTGCTCTGGAATGCTGTCCTCTAACAGTCCCATGCAAACACTGTGCTGCCAACACAAGCACTCTTCACACTGACATTAGAAAAACACAAAAGCAGAAACTAAAACTGAGATAAGTAGATTCAAAAATCAGAAGCTACTTCTTGTATCGTCAAAATGCAGAGAACAGTAGTTTAACTTAAATAGCTGGTTTGAGTAAGATTATTTTAGCTGGGCAATTTGTGTTCGGGTAGGCAAAGGCATCAAGCTAAAAAAGAGCTCTAGTTCTGAAAGTTACCTCAACCACAAATTCCAGACTGGGGAAAAAAAAAATTGAAGATGTAATATTTAATAGTATTTTATTACAACATTCAGTATTTTAGCACCTAAATATTTAGTAGTGAAACATAAGACAGGAGTATAATATTACAGTAAAGTAGAAAGATAATGTAATACATTACAGCATAACAGTGAAAAGTAGAAAACTCTTCAGTTTAAATATTTATATTTACAAAGCATCTCTCCAGTGCGCTAGAAAGATGTGTTTTTAATATCGCACCAATGGAAAATCTAAAAGAAAAAGAAAATGAAGAGAAAATGAAAGAGGAGAAACAAGAGAATAGGAGAGCAAAATAGAAGTGGTAAGACATGAGGGCCTAGCAACAGCAAACTGGTTGCTCTCAGTGAGACAAGGTATGAAGAGGAAAAATCAGGCTGTCATCGGACTTTAAAAACAGGCAGGAAACTACCACTTAAAAATACATTTCCCTTTCTCAACTCAGCATTTTCTTGTTTTCTAAGTACCTGCTGTTTTACCACTGAAAGGGTCTCCTCTGTTTTGACATGCTTTTGAGCATCAGCCTATTCAAAACACTGAAATCACCTTTCCTCTTGTCATAGCACTATGGCTACAATTTCCCCTCCTCTCTCCAAAGATTTCTACATCAGTCCATTTTTCCACATTATAACAATAGCTGAACTCCTGCTTAGTTCCTCCAACACAACACTGCATTTCAGTGTGTTCCCAGGGACAGTCTTTGTGTCCTCCATTTTCAGGTCTATCTGTCATTTCCAAAAAACTTTAGGTCCACTAATATAGGACAGTCATACTTACTTCCTTCAAATCTCACGTAAAAAGGTTCCATATTTTCAACAGAAACGGTACCACATTAACAGCTGAATACAAACCTGTTTTTTGAGTGGTGAAAAAAACCACAGGAAGTTCATGGCTTTTTTAAAGTTACCGACAACTCAGTTCTTCCTCACTATTGCTTGCATCTGATCTAATTGCTATATTATGAATTCCTTGAGACAAAGACTTAAAATTATTCATTACTAGATGGAAATTGCTCCCCTCATTGGAGTACAAATAGGTAAGCAACAGGAGCTGCAATCTATCAGTACCTGAATGTTGTGCAGATGCTGTATACTCTTCTTCCCTTTTTTCTATACCAAGTAAGATTCAAATTCTTAGCAGTTTCTAAAATCAGGTATGATATCTAGTTTGAGAAGTGCTGTTCTAAAGATGAAGCATGCACATCACACACACATCACAGTTACTGACAATACTAAAACATCTGTATAGCAGAGATCTTGCATATAGCTGAGGTACTTTTACAGTGAGCAGAGTGGTTTCTACAGTCAGTACTGCAAAGCACAAGGGCCAAACCAGAAGGGCTGGTATAATTGGGATGGTCTGTGGACAGAAGTGAAAATTTGCATGTGGGACAGGATACTTTATTCCAAATTTATCCACTGGCTATAAAGAAAAAGGTTACCTTTCCTTACAAACCTCTTTAACATATTAAATTGCTGGAGAAACCCCATCCTAGAGTAATAGTTCTGCATACACCAAATAGAGCCATGCCAAGTGCAGAACGTAGAAATCTTTTGTTATTGTTCACTTCTATTTACAGCTCTCTACATAACTTTGGTCTCAAACACATCAAAAGCGGACCTTCACAAGCAAGACATTAACACGGAAAATATATCCCCCTCTTAAATATCTTTACCTGAATCATAAAGCCATTTTCTTCATCCAGTTCACAAATGCATCTAACAATTTCATTGAGAGCATCATCTTCATCCTGAGACTCTTCAAAGTTAGTTGAATCAAAATCCTGATTGTATTCGTCACCACTAAGTAACAAACTCTCTGTAGAGGAATCATCCAAGAACTCCACATCTGAGAGGTCTAGTAAATATAAATACATGTGAAATTGTGTGTGCAGAGATGTAATACTTTTCAGAAATATGGGGGGGTTTGGTAGTTAAAAATCTTAACCTGCACACAGCAAAAAAAAAACAAACCAACAGCGCTCTCAAACACACTGCTAGTATATTAGATTTCCTGATGAATTCTGCAAAAAATCTTTAACGTCATCTCCTCTGAAGCACAGTAGCAACACTTAACCGAAGCAAGTACAATGCAGAACAGTTTGAGGAATATAAGCATTTTGACTTAAATAGATGAAGTATAAATCAGTCACCACATTTATAGCTACAATATCAAACATAAACCAAACAATTTCCTTTAAAATTCTCTTTCTCAAAGAATTAAACCTACAAACTTAAGCTGTTGTTCAGTCAACCTACTTTCTCCACTAAGATCAACAGACAAGATAGCTCTTGGATACTGGTATGATGTATTCTTCTCTGAGAACATGCTGCGCAAAGTCAGAGAGCTCCCCGAGGACCGTGTTAATGGAGAGGAACATCTGTCCAAGAATTCAACAGAACTATCTTCATAATCTGAATAATCTGAAAAGTTAAAAGAAAATAAGTTGCTGTTACTAAATTAAAGTTTATGACAAATGACAAATGCAAAAAAAAAAGAATATTTAAGCATACTGCAACATTACCTTCAGAAGTAAAGAATATCAACATTGAGGTATCAGGATAATGAAACTGTAAATATGAAATGGCAAAAGCTCTTCCTAACATATTTTATAAAAAAAATTTCCAGTGAGGAACATAATGAAGTTTAATAGCTGACAAGCATTATCCTTTTAACTCCCCCCTCCTCTCCATCTCTGAATGTACAGAGGAATCATTTTCCTAGAACATTATACAGTCTTCTTGTTCCACAATTCATCCTGTACCCTCTGCTATCCTTAGAGATACTGCCACTAAGTCTCTCTTTTTGCCTTAGATCTCTTTGTTGCTACCTAGAAGTAACTGCAGACAGTCCTGTCAGGTTAAGTGATAAAAGCTTGTTTGCACACCTGCAGAGAAGCACAGGGAGTCCAAAGAAAACCCTCCTGGGATATTCCCAGGCCACTGATGGGCTGATGGCTCCTGGATGGGCCTGGGAGCACCCCAGGAAGGTATGCACAAGCCCAGAGAAACAAGATGAGCAGGCAAACAACAAACACACCCTGCTCAGGCCCCTCCCAGGGCTGTCCCAGAAGCATCATCTCTCCATTACTCAGGTGTAAAACCCATCGCGATGCATTACCCAGAGCAGCTCTCTGGATCACCTTCTGGACTAAGGGCAGCTGCAGCCCAGGGTTGGGGAACACTATGGGATGTAGGGGAAAGTAATTTTGGGATTTTGGCAGGTGCACACCCTGCCCCTAGACAACAACAGAAACTTCTTCACTGATAGACCCCTAAGTCCAGGGACAGGAAAGGTGGGGCCACTCGGTCGACAGACAGAAGTTTCTGGACCACTGACCACATATGACCACAGATCAGATTCAACCTAGGGTATAAATGGAGCCCTGCCAAGGGGCCATGTTGAGTCAGTCCTCCTTGGAGCAATGGGTCTGCCGTCAGGGACTCTCCTCTTAGGCTGGGATGTCACTTAAGGAAACTTCTCGAGGTTGAGAGCCTTCATCTTATAGGTGAATGATTGTGCATTTTGAATCATCATTCCAAAGTTTGGGGATCCTCTGAGGCATGTAGTAATTGAATTCCACATGGTATCCTGAACCTGTAGTTTAACATTTGTCAGAGTATAAACCTGTTTTGGTCAAGAGCGCATTTTCTTTTTATCCTGAGTTTCAACTTTGGTTAAATGAATAAAATTCTCTTTTGAGTCTGCCATCTGCCTGGTTTGACTGCATATATCTAATCCTTTAGACATAAGCTGTTGACCAAGTCTGGGACTAGGAGTGAATCCAGCCACAACTAGACTCCTCTCTGAGAAGGGGTTTAGAAAGCAAGGGGGTCCTCTCCAGACCTTGTGACTCAACAGGAGGGTCTCTCTGGGAGTTTTGTCTGACCTTGTCCCCAACAGGGATTGAAAATAACCAAAGGCAGGGAAAATGGATGGACCTAAGTGATTTGAGGAGGAACAAGCACAGGGAAAACAGAGGAATAAAGGCATAAAAAAGGTCAGTTGTGCATAAATAGTTTGCTGGTCAGTACACTTGTCTGGCCATGCCCTGCATCTGATCAGCACAGTCTGTCCTATCTGTGCTGGCACAGCTGGTGGAGCTTCCCTCCTTGGAGATACTGAAAAGGCAACTGAACATAGTCCTGGGCAACCAGCTCTAGATAGCCCTACTTGGGCAGGGGGTTTGGACCAGAGGACCTCCAGAAGTCCCTTCCAACCTCAACTATTCTGTGATTCTTATTAAAACCCATTTCTAACTCTTATCCAGGTAAGAGGCTTTCTATTCAGTGTGTAGGTATGTCTATGGGAGTCTGAGTGCCTGCAAAAGGAGTCAGACCACAGCTGGAAGGGCCCATGTGTCTGTGGTGCCAGCACCTGCAGAGACTGGAGTGACTCAAGTGCCAGCCACTTGCAAGGGTCACAGGGGCCCATGAGTTCATGCTGCAGCACCGGGAACCAGAGCAAGTGTCGGATTGTTAGTAGAGATCAAGCTGGACCAGTTGGTGAGCAGGTGAAGTGGAGTGGGAGCAAGGGGTGAGTGCGACTGCAAGGGCCAGCTCTGGGTGTGAGGGCCTCTCTAAGGGCGAGAGCTGGGGAGCTATGTGAATCTGGGAAGTCCTGGCCAACTCTGGGCATGTGCAAGAGTGCACATACGAGTGAGATGGTCTGTAATGCAGTGGGGCTGTGGCCCTGGAGGCTGGTATGTCCAGGTGCTAGTAACTGGGAAAACTGGGATCCAGAGTCAGCTAGTGGGCAGACAGTGTCTGAGCCCAGCTGCTGGAGGGATCCACACTGTACACAGATATCTCTCTATGTTCTCACTAGTGGACCCTCACCCTGCTCAGCCAGACAGGGGAGCAGGATGAGGCTGTTAGAGCATGCACACAAGTGCAGACAGCACCATGCACTTCTGCTTACTGGTAATACAGCAGTATTGACATTTATTGATACCAGCATGATATATTTTCCTCTAACATACACTATTTGCAACAGCCTCAAGGAAAACATTTGCAAGCCTGTCCTTAATCATAGTGACTGGAGAGACTGCCCCAGATACGACATGGAATCATACATCATAGAATGGTTTGGGTTGGAAGGGACGTTAAAGATCACCCAGTTCCAAGGCCCCTGCCATGGACAGGGACACTTTCCACCAGACCAGGTTGCTCAAAGCCTCATCCAACCTGGTCTTGAACGCTTCCAGGGATGGGGCAGCCACAACTTCTCTGGGGTCTGTGCCAGTGCCTCACCACCCTTGCAGTAAAGAATTTCCTCCTAATTTCTAATCCAAATCTACCCTCTTCCAGTTTAAAACTAATACCCTTTGTCCTGTCACTATTCTCCTCGATAAAAAAATCCCTCCCCATCTTTCCTGTAGGCCCCCTTTAAGTACTAGAAGGCTGCTATAAGGTGTTCCCAGAGCCTTCTCTTTTCTAGGCTAAACAGGCTCTCAGCTTGTTCTCACAGGAGAAGCGCTCCAGCCCCCGATCATCTTTGTGGCCCTCCTCTGGACCCGCTAGAGCATGTCCATGTCTTATGCTGGCGAAATGGTAATTAAGTGTAGTGATCCATTTACTCTTCTTAAAACATATTACTTGCCCCTGCCATGGACAGTGACACTTTCCACCAGACCAGGTTGCTCAAAGCCTCATCCAACCTGGTCTTGAACGCTTCCAGGGATGGGGCAGCCACAACTTCTCTGGGGTCTGTGCCAGTGCCTCACCACCCTTGCAGTAAAGAATTTCCTCCTAATTTCTAATCCAAATCTACCCTCTTCCAGTTTAAAACTAATACCCTTTGTCCTGTCACTATTCTCCCCGATAAAAAAATCCCTCCCCATCTTTCCTGTAGGCCCCCTTTAAGTACTAGAAGGCTGCTATAAGGTGTTCCCAGAGCCTTCTCTTTTCTAGGCTAAACAGGCTCTCAGCTTGTTCTCACAGGAGAAGCGCTCCAGCCCCCGATCATCTTTGTGGCCCTCCTCTGGACCCGCTAGAGCATGTCCATGTCTTATGCTGGCGAAATGGTAATTAAGTGTAGTGATCCATTTACTCTTCTTAAAACATATTACTTTGAATACAAGTGAGTAATCAGATTTCTACACCTTCATCCCTCTGTAGGAAGCATTCCTGAGCATGCCTGCTACCAGCTGTAGCTACAGTTTTCTTGCAACGGGTTCCACAGTAAGTTTCTCTCCTAAATACCTTTCATAAAGCCACTGTTCATATTTACTTTCTCCTGTCAAAAACACACTGTCTACCACATTTCCTAAGTATATTCACTGTAGGGGACTCTATTCAATGAGTAGTTGAGTCAATTACTTCATGTTATATTGCTGTCAACCTCACTGCAACAGAACAGTACAAATAACAGAAATTACCTACCTTCTGTGTGATATGGGTTTTATATGAACAGTCAATCACGCATATACTCAGAGTTTTTGTTGGATTTTTTTTTGTTTGTTTGAAAGCCTTGTGCAAAACTTATCTGGAGCACACAATGTGCCCGCTCCTTCTTCTTCCCCAAGATGCCTCAATTTGATTCCAGAGGAATGGAGCATGCCTCGCACCCTTTCATTTCTGCCCATGCTCTGAGTAGAGTGAGCTAGTCCTGGAGAAAGAGAAGACTGCTTCTTTTGACAGATCATTTTTCAGTGGGCTTTTTCAGGGTCAGACTGGAGTCACAATCTGCCGAAGAATTTTTCTTTTTTTCCCCAGTTAAAAAAAAAAAATATCCAGGCAGAATACTTCTGGATTACCAGAAACAGATTTTCACAAGATGAATTTGCAAAGAATAAAATGCTCAAGTTTTACTTACACTGCTTTCTGCATCTGGATTTAAGATTTGTATTTGTTGGGGCATTGGGAGGTACATAGTTTTCTCCTAATATTTACAAGCACTGGATACGGTCCCTAGAAATTGGAACCTAATCATGGTACCTCTGCCAAGCTTCTACGCTTCAAGACAAGTTAGCAAAAAGACCAAAGGAATAAAAAGAATCCAAAAAACCCCAACCCACAACAAACCACCCTATAAACTCAACAAGATAAAACCAAAGAACAATACTGGACATAAGAAAATGGCTCTGATATTAATTTGCAAGAGGTACTCCATCTGAAAGAATTTGGATGAACAGGGTTTGCAGAACCCATTGCATGTCAGAGCTGTATGGAACCAGAGAACCAAGTGCACCCCAGACAGTGTGAAGCCTCAGACTCTCTGATCTCAAGCACAGCACTTTGCGAAACAGCAATGTATCACATGTTTAGATGAGAACCCCCAGTCTGACCAACTCCTCCCAAATCTTCTAAATTGTGCACTACATCAGCCTTTTCTGATGATTCATCTAAATTCCAGGATTCAACACCAAAGATGACAGATAACTTCTCTATTTACCTCTCTCTTTGGAAATACAGGAAATAGAAGGCTCAGGGAAATACTATGTCAATGTTTCCCCATTACAAAATACACATTTCTAGTTTTGACCTTATTTCAAATCTGTAGCTTACCTTGTTACCTGTTAAAACAGTTCTGCAGAAAAGATCTTTTTTCAAATATTTCAATTATTATTTTGCTTATTTTTATGCAAGTTCTTTTTCAAACACTTTTACATCAACACTCAGTGTCATATACACAAAGGACAGAAGAGCTATAAAACATTTTTCTCACTCTTATCAAACTGCATTGAGAGTGCTGCTGGGGATATTGCTGTACATAAGGTGATGACACATTACTTTTGAACATTTTCCTAAAAATGAAACCCATGGAGAGTACTAACTCACCCTGCCATGTTTTAATAATCACAGATGAAGTAGCCGGCACTGCTTAGGGTCTTGGGGTTTTTGTTCTTTTCTTTGGCTTTTGCATACCTAGCATTTACCAGTACCTTGCAAATACTTCGATGCCTTCCCAGTGTAAGTAAAAAACTCCCAACAATTTTTAGGTTAAAAAAAGCAAGTGAAGTTCATAGTTTAAAATTGTATTACTCCAATACAAAGATGGTAAAGCATGTGAAACCTAGATTATTGCAGTTCACATTCAAGCACTGCATGATTTGGGAGTCACAAATTTTGGACAGTCAAATGTATAATCACTCGAGAGATCCACAAGGCATCTTTAAAAATTTGTCGTCAGAAGCTCCTTTTGATGCATAGGGTTTTTTCACACACTCTTGTGGAAAAGTTTTTAGAAAATTCTTTTGTTTGGTAAGGTTTTACATTTTCACCTTCTCATATTTTAAGAAATCTTAAAAGTTTTTACGACTGATATCTAGTGAAATACACTCTCAAGGTACACAAAAGTAAAGTCAATCTGGTAGGCATAGAAAGGACAGTCTATATTCTAATTTTTAAACTTTTTAATATCTAAAGATGTTCTCAAAAACCCAACCCAGAGGCAAGATAAAAATAGGTAGTATTATTTTAAGTCCTGAAACACTTCTTGAAGTAAGCAGGCATAGAACACAAAAAATAAAGTTCAGTCTTTGGCAAGAAGAAAAGACAGAATGAGTCTGCATTTGCCCATGCTGTTATTTTTATTGCCATAATGCTGCACCTAAGACTGCACTGGTTGCAAAAAAAGGTAAACCAAGGAACCTGTAGTGTGATGTTATGGGAAATAAAAAAAACCAAAGGATGTGGAAAAGCGGAAGAAATACAAAGAAACAGTAAAACTGTACTGGTCAGCAGAAGAGTTATCTTTTTACTAAAAAAAACAAAACAAAAAAAAAACCAAAAACCCCCAAACATTGTCCAGTTTTTCCACAGAAATCATGCCAAGGAGAGTTACAGAATGGACGGTGCTAAAACTTTATTACAGGAGTACTTCTCAAACCAGGAGAAACAAAGCATGAAGCGGTTTCAAAGGGTTTTTTATTTTGTTAAAAAAGCACAAGCTACCTAGAGCTTCATATCTAAAAATCAAATTTTTTTTGTCCTTCTAGGGAATGGAAATAGCAGAGAAAAGAAAAAGATGACTGATATGATCAAAGAATTGGAATAGCAAAGTAAGACAAAGATAAATGGAACCATCATTTGTCAAGACAACAAACAAGGTTGTTGCAACAGGGATGTCAATTTCAGCTGTTAAGGATTAATTGTTAAGGAGAGGCTGCATTATATACAGTAATCCACTGAAATTTAGCAACAGACTAGATACTAGAATAATTTTAATGTTAGAGCAAAATAGGTAGGATGTGTATACAGAGCTTCAAATGAAGAATTTGAAGAGATAAGAGTGAGCATATCTTTCGAAGGAAGAAAAAACTTCCATGAAATATCTATGTCCATCACTTAGGGACAGGCTGTAAATCCAAAAAATAGGTCATAAACCTAAATGTCCTTTCAACATTTAAGGCCAAAGCTTATTCTTTAAAATTTCTAAAACTAGACATTCATACTGTTTAGAAACAAGTTTTAATTTCTAATGTCAGAAATGCACTGAGTTGTTTTGCTTACTTGAAAACTATGTAAATTGAACTTACCATGCTGCTTAGATTTCTTCTTTTTTTTCTTCTTCTTTTTCTGTTTCGATTTATGATCTTTCTCCTTTTTCTCTTTTTTCTCTTTTTCCTTTTCTTTTTTTTTACCTGAAATAAAATTGAAACATTTTAAAACAGCAGTACCATTCCAAATTACCTGCTTCATTCGGCTTAACCTACAGATGATGTTCAAAATCAAGTATTCCAGTTGCCTAGTCAAATCAAAATGATTCAGTTAATTGACTTGATATCTTGGGCATGTCTCTCATTAATTGCCGGTAGAATGCTTTAAAGGAATCTCTCTCAACAAATAACATTTTATGTATTTCCAAATGAGATATCATAGCGGAAGAAGATACAGCAAAGCACACAAAATAAGTGACATTATTTAAATAGCTTATAACATCTATTTCACTTACAGTTTAGAACAAAAAGTTTTGGGCAAGAGAAAAAGTTTTCAAAAGTGCAAAATTCCTAACCAAAAAGATAGCATAGTCTTAAAAACACATACTAGGCCTATAGAAAGTCATTTGAAGGAAATTCAGTATCACAAAACTGCTGATGCTGTCAGCACTTTCTACTACACAGTGACATCCTCATACAAAATTGATTCTGACCAAAATTTATGATACATTTTTTACACTGCAGTCCACTTCTAAGCACTGTTGGCATACACAAGAGGACAAGTACTTTGTCTCAGAAAAATTCTATTTAACCTGTTAATTCTCCCCAGATAAATATATTCCACAACATTTTCACTCCATAATCATTTTCTAAGTGATCAGCAGTAAGATAAATAACGAGGAAATGACTTGTTACAGAAAATAAATCCTTAAAGCCGGTCTTTAAGGATTGTTCCCTGCACACAAACTGGAGTTCTATTATCTTCTTGGGGAATACAGAAACAGAACTTTTACCTCCTGGAAAAAAAAAGCAGAATCATTTATGAATTCTTGTCTAACTCTAATATTTTTTTATTTTTTTTTTTTAACACAGGATAAAACCAAAACCCTCTTAATTTATATTTTCTTTCAAGAATTGCCAAATGTTTCGCTAGTAACACTCAACTGTTTTCTCCTCCCTGCCCCCAAATTAGCATGGAAATAAAGGTAGTATTACCAATCAACTGGAAAAAAAAATTAAAAAAAATACACACACACACAAAAAAACTCACCAAACTTTTTTTCAGACCTCTAATAGGTACTTTTTTCCCAAATCCTTGCTATGGGCACTTTAATTTTCTCTTCTAAAATTACTCTTCCACTATAAACTTGTCATATATATATAAAAACTGTTTTTAAGACCTAAACAAACAAAAGACGTCCAGCTGGGCCCAGGAAATATTTTACGCTTTTACATTTGCTCTTCAGAAACATCAAGCGTTAGAGAATTTTTCCTCTTTTCCTAAAAATATTGTTGCCCTCTACATACCGTATGTTGAAGAACTTTTCTCTTCCAGTTTTCCTTTTCTTTCCAATCTCACTGCACCTGCAAATTGAAGAAGAATTACATAAGTGCAATGTCTGGTTGATGACCCACTTTCTTGTAAAAGTCATTAGGCTGTAAAAAGTCCTAATGGTACATAATAAGAAGAAACATACAAACAATAAAATTATTTTTAAAGTCACTTTACAATTATTTTTATTGTCTAAAGCACTGGAAACAAAAAGTATTGTAGTTTACCAACTTCTGAATGCTTGTCCTTCTCAATCACGTTCTTTAATATTTTCTCCTTCAGACTCTCAAAACATTTCTCCTTTATGGGCACAGAGCACTGTATCTCTGTCCCTTCAGAGCTCACTGATGTGGAAGACCTCTTTTTTTTACTATTCCCTTTGGGTAACTTTAGACTATTGGTTAAAGGCATTTCCAGATGCAAGGCATGTACATGGGACGAGGGTGCTGAAAACAAGAAGACAGATTTACTAGGCATTCTGTAAGGATTGCAGCCAGATCACTGGCTGTGTCAGATCATTGAAATGTCAATTATTGGTAATAATATCATCACACTTAACATATAATTACTGCATACGAATGCCTAGGTCTTAGTCTTACATACAAGACAATACATGCCACAGAAGACTTCTTTGTCTGTTTTGGAATTTGCACTCACTTTTAAACTACTTATACTGTTTAAAGTCTACTTTTGCCGCTACTTTTAAGCCTTTTTGTTTCCTTTTGTTTCACTGTAATAGAAACCCATGTCAACAGTAAGGATTAAAGGCGCTGACATTGTCAGTATCTTTTAAGTTAACATTCCATTATGTGAACAGAGAAACTAAGCTCTAGTACAACATTATTAGTGCTATGTATGAAATGTACACTTCTGCTTATTGCATTTTTCATTGATTTTAATAATATTTAAATAATTCACTGTCTTTCATGTGTTTATTTAATCCATATTTGAATTACATGTAAAATACTGTGATAATTTGTCAGAATTCAGCATCATATACTGACAATTGTTATATTGCACTATCCAGAAGTTTATTCAGTGAAATATTTATCTGTTTTTTTAATCTTTATCTGATGCAAATTAAGAAATAACATGGCAAAACAAAACTCAAATTATAATTTTCATTGTTAATATTTATAATCAAATAGGACAATGGAATTTTCAAATAATCAAACTAGAATAAAAGTTATTTATAAAGAACATTATTGAACTAATTCGAAACTCTCTATTACTGTGTTCACTAATACTGTGTGAGCTTTAAGTTTCATTTAAATGTAATTACGAAAGCCTAATCTTCATCAGACCATTAAGGATATTTCAGGACCATACCGAAGTCACACTGTACAAAAAGGCAGCTCTGCAAAGTCATAAGGGGTTCAGGTTTTACAATGCCAGCTGTAAGTACGTGGAGGCACCAGTCACCTTTGGTGTCTCTCAGCGCATGAGCCCAACAAAAGTATCAGCATGTAAGAAACACGTGTGGGTTAAAGTGCTGAATGAAAAAAAAAACAAAAAAGGTCCTGAAAAATACCTGCTAGGTGTCAAGACAAAATACAAAGCTGATCTGGAATGGGTTCTTTGATCTCCTCCTTAATTTTTTTTTAATATCCAGTAATAAAATAACAAATAGCTTTTAAATAAGCAGCGTTAAGGTAATTTAGTAAATTCATCAGTCATAAAAGGATTCCGGGGAAAAGGCAAGATTGACTCCATAAGGTGGCCTTCCAGGCTTGGACAGACCAATCCAATTCTACTATGATACAACATACACGTTACATGAAACTTACTCCAGGTCCAAGGCAGCCTTCTCAGGAAAACAATCAAAATGACATAGAGTGAGAAAGCTGCAGGGGTAGCAATAGCAAGTGGTACATCACCTACCACACCACACAGCACTTTTATAAATGCCAGCTGTTCCCAGCTGCAAGATGCAAGACAACACCATACTATGCAATCTAGCCAGCAGCCAGAAGCAGCGGCTCAGTTCTGCATGTTGGTTTCCAACACAAGACACAAGCTGAATGATTGACCATGGCTGAGGCTACCTGAGCCTTTCCACTACCTCAAATCAACCATCTCATCTAAGACCAAAATCCTTTCAAGACTGATCTACTATTCAGGCTCTTGCCTCTGTCTGTATTTCACAGGTGGACTTAGCTTGCTAGGATACTTCTCATCGACACAAAATACTATCGAAATAATTCCTTTCTTGGGTTTCCTAATTAACATTTCTCCGAACTGCTTTGCCATCTGTGGAGCAATGAGTATACTTTAGCACCTCAGCAAAAGAAAAAAGTGACACTTCTCCACATCATGATGCTATCAACGTCTTGTCTGGTTTCTAAAAAAAGCACAAAAGGATCACCCAAATGCACATAATTTGGTGAAGTCACTGCCATTTTGATGAAAAGATGTGAGAATGATCCATCATCCAAGCAATCGCAAGAGAAATTTAGTCTCAGTATTAGATGAATTAGTACTTAAACTTCATTATTCAGAAGAAATCCTGATCTCAGACATTCAAACGTGCTCTGGTATTGATAGCCACAACACAACAAACTTCAGTGTCTCAATAATTTTTAATACAAGCATATCTGACAAAGTAATCAGCTAGTAACTAAGTAACTGTTTGAGGGAACATTTATGATGGGCAGAAATCTGCTACAGTCACACAAACATCCATATGAACAACAGAGCTTTCCAGACTGCCTTACTATAGTAACCTGAAAAGAGAAATTACTATTATGCCTGCATACACTGCAATGTTATTCTTGGTTTTTATTTTCGTTAATGAGAAATCATTCTAGATTGACAATCCTAAATTCTCAAATCCTAAATAAAGTGTGAAGGCTTGTAAAGTCTAGTTTTCAACTGTGCAATCACTATGCCTTACAATCAATCACAAAATTAGATGAAGCAGACAATCATGGTCTGAAGGACAAGTAACAAATACAGCAAGAAAAATACTAGTTTATAAAAAATTTCCTTTATGGAAATATTATCTTTTTTTTAACTGTTACTTTTAATTGCAATTTTGTTCTTGTGGAGCAGTCTAGTCAGCCACCTCCCACAAAGTGAAGCGTGGGAGCTTTGCAATTAACACTCAGCAGAGAGAAAGATGCTTAGAGATTAGACTCGAGAAATTACTGATTATATCATTGTTCTAAGATCAATTTTATCACCAGAAGACTGGTTTCATATTAAAAATAAATGCAAACCACAACACTTTGCAGTCCGGTTTACGACACGTTTCCAATGCTACCTCTCCTGGTCTGACAAGGTCAAGCGACACAAGCCTCCCCTGTGCGAGCACAGGCACAGAACAGGATGCTGTCCTACGAGCGCAGCAGCACAGACAGGCTTTTAGTGGTACTGCCTATTTCAGTTCAGCAAATTAAAAATAAATTGTACCAATGTTAAGCAACTTATTTTGTTGCACGATATTCTGTTCCATGGCTTTTGATGTTTCAAGTTTCCTAATAACAGAAACATCATGATCTGCATTAATATACCACTTAAATCATAACATGGTCAGCATAATTCATGTTTCTATCATTACTTTTGTGTTTTGAATTCCCAGTGCATAGCATGAATTTTATATCTAAATGCACTTTAAATACATATTACAGATTAATACCAGAACCTGCACAAAATTATCTCTTTAGGAAGGATAAGGGTATGAAAGGTTCTTGCTTGCCTTCAGCTCATCACCCCAAGAATCAGCTGGGAACTTCAGGACAGAGATTAGAATGGCAGACATTCAAATTAGGGAGTAAACCTGTGAATAGATGTTTGGAGTAAAACAAACAGCTCCAAAGTAACAAGAGCTTTAGTTCACTAGAGTCTAGATACCTCTTAAAAGCAGGGTAACCAATAACACTGGCAAGAGTTTATTAAAAAATGACTGATCTCATTTTCTGAAAATTTTGTACATCAGTCACCTCTTGTTCCTGCTGCAGTGAACTGTTGTCAGTAAAATTATGTAAAAGTATACAATATTTTTTTTCTTTTTGCATAAATGCAAATTTCTCCCATATAGTTAACCTAATGTTACCCTACTAGCAAAATCATAGACTGAGCTAGAACACAAAATAACAGCTAATGATAATACTGTTATATTAGTATTATAAATACTTATTGTTATATTAGTAAAGGTAGTAATATTTTCCTTTTACTTAAATTTTAAAACCGAGATTGCTTGCTGAAATTATGTTTGCTCAACACATAACAGTTAAACTAACATAAATGGTGTAGAGTTACAGAAACCAAGTGAAAAATATCACCTAGTAAAAAAAACTAAAGAAAATTGCAACTACAGAAAGATCTGAACTTCATGTAGTCAGAACTGGAAAACTACAGCGTTTTGCATGTATTCCGACTGACTGTGAATTTAAAGTCTAGGAAAGACTAAGTGACAAAAATGCAAGTTATCCACATTTTAAGCAGTTCGACAAATGAAAGCAAGGATTCTTAGTTGTGTGTGTACAATATCAGGCCATCAGAAGTAGGCCCATGCAACAGTTTAGGCACAGCAGTACCTCTGCTCAATGATCAACTGGTAGTGTATCAGTGTCTACCAAAGCACACAGCACTTCCACGTAGCCTGTGGACTGAAGGAATTGATCACAGTGCTTTTGTGTTGCCTTTAGAAATGATAAATTGTTCATTTTGAGCAACGATTCTGAGATCTATGTGTTCATACTATGAGTTGCTATTTAGGCTTCTGTGCTTCAGTGCATCTTGTCCCTCCTCTCTGAAAAACACCAAGTTAGTACCTTTTGAATGAAGAACTCATTAAAATGCATCATTTTCAACAACATAAAATTATTTTTTCAATTGACTCAACAGATAGCCTCCATCAGAAGTCTAAACTTCCAAAGCCACAAATTGCAACTCTGAGTCTAAATCAGTACAGCTCTTTTACAGAAGAGTCGGTGATTGTAATAGGCTGTTTCAGGCTAAATACTTCCATTATCTCTGTAATTTCTGAAACTACACTTATCTACTTCAATGATTATGAAGACAGCATGTCCAACTTAAGTCCACTTGGTAAATTCCATAGTGTTATCAAAATCTCAATACGAGATCTGTCCAGACTGTGTCAATAAAATCTAAACAACAGAAACATCATAAAAGGACACAGATTTAAAATAGTTCTTTCAGATTAAAAAAAGCAGACAATTACAGAATAGTCTGGATTTTACACCAGAGTTCTCAAATTGTAATGTATAGAGTCACAATGCATATGCTAAACAATGCGATATATTAAATTACACTTAGGCACGCAGATGTTCTTGCATAATGCAAATTAACTTTTCTCAATAATTTCAAGCATCAACAGGAATGAGAAAGGAAAACTTTGGGTACCTCTCCTTTATATACTAGCTTGACATTGTTTAAACAGGTTCATTAGAAAAGGAAAAGTAGTGACAAAAAAAAGAGTGGATTCTATTAATTCTTCTGAAGCATGCAAGAATTTGGTGTAAATATGTGTGCTTAAGTAACCTGTCTTGAGAACCTGTGCTATTTCAAAAGCAAAAAGACACCTTGTAAAGCAGAGAATGCAACAAAAACTATTCAACAGTGTAAAGTAACTCCAGAGGTTTCAAACCTGAGCTTAAAAGCTGTTTTCCTTTTTCTTCTAAGAAGAATATGAGGATATGAGACAAATGAGTTCCACCAGAGCTTGAGAGCTTATAACACTTAAAATTATGTAGATCCAAAAAAGCCCCATTAAGCTTTACATACACTATAAACTGTATCCTCCAGCATAGGTTGAAAGTGCTTCCATCTTCCCATTCCAGACTCAAGTAGTAATATCAGATAATTTTGTCAGGGAATGGTTTCTCCTGACATGAAGTGTGTGGACATCAAACACTTTCAAATCATAAATAAAGGTGGCTATAAATGAAACATATTATTTCTTTAATTAGACTCAGCTGTGGTCAAGACCAAGACCCAGCTCAACAAATAAACAGGTACAAGGGAACACATGGGTGCTGGGTTTAGAGTCAGATCACTCGGACTCCAAGCCAGTCCCCTGACAGAAGCGGGCAACAAAATAAATACCTATCAGCATTACCAACTACACACTAAATGATACAGAAAAAATATCAGAAAAGCCAGAATCAGAAAAATTCCTAGTAACTGAAATGAGTTCTAAGAAACAAGAAACAGATGGTAGTTGGAAGCTGTTGGTTTCTTTTATGATCTTGGTCTATGAGTGGGCAAATATATATCTCCCAAAAGCACTTCTCTTAGTGGTAGAAGACATGAGATAAAAAGACGTTTACAGAAGACATTTTCTCAGGAATCTGTGATTCTACTGCTATGCAATGTATCAAAGGCAAATGAAGACTGCCACATGGTTTCACTTGAGAAATTAAGTAATATTTTTAAAAGTTTAAGTGGCAGCTCATTAGAAATTCCCATAGCCCTTATTTTGACAAATTAGTTTAAGAGATTAATAGATTTTTTTTTTGAGAGAGAAAGGACAATTACAATCACCTGTTTTAATCTATGCAATATTGATCCAAAAATTCTGCTCGGCTTTTGCTACATCAGGTTAAAATAGCTATGCTACAATTCAATGAAGCGATTACCTTACAGTTTCAGTGGGAGCATGTGTAAGCAGACACCCAAGAAGGGGCTGTATATACTAAATAAAATGTTTCACTGACCTGTTGAGCACTGCAGCTATAATATCAGCTTAATGCAAAGTTGTTATTTCTCCCCCCTGCAACAAGACTAAGTTATAATTTGAGTGCCATAATTATATACTATAAGGTCATGTTGTCCTCCCTTACTACCGATCACATTTACCAAAAACTTCCCCAGCAGAGTACAATAATTTGATTTTCTTCCTCCTCTTACTTTATTGAACAATTTTCTCATTTAACAAAAAAACAAACAAAAAATCAAAAACCAAAAGACTTGAGAGAATTCTCTCTTGGAAGTCAATTAAAAACGGTATGATACTCACATAAGAGGTTTATTTATGAAAATGGACATCTAACATACACTGGATTAAAACAACCCACTTTTGGGGTCTGCAAACTAGTATGTGAACCCTGCTCCAAATCTCTTAATTGCCTCTATCCAAGTGATTCACTTAAACCAGAGTAGCCAGTAAACACTTACGAAGTGAGAGGCAGCACAGAGTTCCCGTACTGGCCTCTAATATAATTCTGTGAGGGTGAACCACATCTACATAAGTTTTAGACGATTTTTCAGAAATATTTTCAAGTAACATTTTGTAGCAAGCAAATGACAAAATTTCCACTGCAAACAGAAGCAAAGGTAGAAGAATGTTGACTGTCTTTGAAAATGTACTAAGTTTTAACGCTGAAGCCACAAGATAAATGAGGGCATCTAGATTTAGTACATATTAGTATCTTAGTAAACAACTTCTTAAATTATTTTTACAAGTTTTAACAATATAAAATATTTTTGAAAGAAATACTGCTTTTTACATTCAACACTCTCAGATCCTCCTCAAAAGTGTGTTAGAAGAAGTGCTAATGCAGCTCAAAGCCAGCGGAAGATGAAGAATATGCAGATAGATGGATGCCAGGAAGAGTGGCAGGTTTGCGAGTGTGCAGAAAGGGAAAAAAAAAGTATCCCCTCTTTCTGTGTGATTGAATATATACACGTTTTAACCCTACAACTATAAATCTAACTGGTTGTATACTGAATCTCTTTACCTGACGCTGTTGTAGCTACTCTTCCATCAGTTACTGCTTTGGAAGAAAGATATGTAATCATCTGAATATCTTCCTTGTCTTTACAGGGATATTCATTACGGAAAGTGGATTCTGTGGATAATGGTGCTGTAACTTCCGAACTACGGCTTAAATCAAGAGGGAGACATGGTCCACGCTTCTCAAGTGACATATGAGCAACATCAGGTACTACATAAAAGAAAAAATGTAGTATTAAAAAAGATACATAGGTCAAACAACAGTTTGGATTGCAGCGTTACATAACATAGGAACAGCATACAGCTATAGCTACAGTAAGTCAAAATATCCCATTAGATGAAAACCATGAAAGGTCTAATTTTTATGATTCAATTTCTCTTGGGCAGTTCTTTATTAGATTAAGATACATTACCCTCCAATTTTGATGACTGTTGGTTTTGACCACTGATGGAGAACACTTTTCCATCAGTAACTGAAGAGGGAGAAGAAACATTTTCTACAGAATCATCAGGCAAGGAGCAAGTGGCTAAACGCTGTGATCTTCTTCTCCGTTGGCTATGTTTGTAGGATCTAGGGGAATTCACTGGCTGTGATGGACCTAAAAAGAGATCTTTCAATGTTCATGAAGCAGAGAGATATACCATAATCTTACCGCAGTATTTGAGAGCTAAAGATGGGGAGTGCTTTAAATAGCTCTTATTTGCAAAGCTGGTAATCACAGCAGAACTGGTAAAAGTAATTAGAAACTGTGACTACCAGGAGTAAAAAAAGAGTTATACTCAAGACAGGATTCTGTTTTTTGCTTATTATACATTATTAGGGTACCTACTTCCCCACTGATAAAGGCTGTTGTGTCACGCAAACAGTGTCTTTACAATAAGCAACCCGCCCATATAACCCATGAGAGTAGGCTACTTATAATGGAAGGGGGCAATAGGATTTAACAGTAAACAGAACAAACGGTCACAGTTAAAGACCTAAAAAGTCACGGACAGTGCTAACATACAACTTACAAAAAATAATCAGAAGCAGTGGTTAATTTTATATCCCACCTCCTGTCTTCCGCTAACCTGATATCAATACCCCAACTATATTTCAAATGCACATTGCCAATGCATGGCACAGCGAGCAGGCTCAAGAACCTTATACTTAAAAAGAAAAAAAAAAGGGGGGGGGAGGAGGATTGATATAGGTTAATTTAGGCCTGATTCATTAAAAATAAAAAACCCACATTCCCCTACACCTCTCCAATTTGACCTAGTTTCACAAACTTTTGCCTAAGAAAAACATTTAAATCACCATTATACTGTAAACGACTGTTCTCTCCTTTTCTTATGCAGTTTTGAGAGTCAAAGATGTACAGATTTAAAAATAAAGACACAGCAAAACTAGACTTCCATTAGAGGTCGTAAAGACTCAGAAGTCAAAGTTTAAAAGACAGCACTAACAAGATCCAAGCTATTAAGTAACCAATTTTTAAATTAGTTTATTTTAAAAATATTGCTACAGAGAAGTCTAACTTAATCCAAAATACAAACACGCTCGAGGAAAACTACTTACCATTGTTTTAGGGGTGGAGAGGGAAAGTGTATTAAATATAGATGACTGCTAATATTTTGTGAGGATAAAATACAATTTATACCAATGTGTCCTGAATATGGCTGAATTTGCACCCCTCCCTCTCCCATTGATTTAAAGTTATCTGTGAGAAAAGATTAAAAGAAACTTATCTCCTAAGGGAAAAATATCAAATCAAGGTTAAGGGGAACACACGATGCAGGTTTAGTCTTCCATCCTCAATCACTATTCTAAAAGTGAAACAAAAATGTAGCTTTTGACTCACTGGAACCCACATTTATTTTAACTCTTAGCTTCAGCATTTAATGTTCTTCAGGCAAAGAGTCTGACCCTAAGCAACACTAAAAACCTAATGTAATTTCAAAAAAAATTATAGAACTATTTTAATATTCACAAAAACCAGCATATTCAAGGATGCAGAATAAACCTTTCCCTGTTCTTCTGATAACCAATATTTTGGTACTTTGTAAATCAGTTACAGATGTTAAGAAGATGAACATCTATGGTATTTTTCTGAGACAAAGAAACTCGATTTTTTATATTTCCCCATCACAGATCTTGAACCCATCTTCTCTTTCACATCGTATTTGGCAGAAATACCACATAAGGTGATGAATGCCACAGCCAACAGGTACAGCACATCAGCCTGCTGAAGGCAGAATTTCTCAGAGAAGGAAAGGTTCACAACCAAGATGTCTGTCTTTTCTTTTTAATGAATCAGGCCCCTTCAGAAGGGAGGTTTGATTTTTCCTGTATCACTGTTAATACTAGTGTGGAGATTTCAGCTGAAGGGAAAGCCAACCATTAAAAGCCACAACTCTATAAATATAAATATATTATT